GTAATGTGTGAATATAAATATTATGTAATGTTTATGAATAAATGCTTGTTTTCGTATATAGACATATATAAATACAAATGTAGCAAATGTATGAAACACTCAAGAAATGATAAATATCAAGTTCACCTCTCATAAACAACTTATTACTTCCAGAGGTGACATAAGTTTAACTGAATCAAGAGGAAATACACAAGTGGTTTCCATCACATGTGTTCCATTTTCTTTATTAAGCTGCATGGTGAGTAATAGGTGATCATTATGTTATTGTCTATTACCTGAACTGAAATGTTTTTGGAACACTTACATATGATACTTTTAAAATAATTTAAGATAGAGTTCCCATACATGAAATTCACCCATTTAAAGTATACAATTCCATGGTTTTTAGTGTATTCGCAGAGTTGTACAACCATCACTACAATCTAATTTTTTAACAGATTCCTCACCCCCAAAACAAACCCCATACCTACTAGCAGTCAATCACTGCCCCTTCCTCCCAACCCCAACCCTGCTTTCTGTCTCTATAAATTTACCTATTCTAGACAATTCATGTAGATGGAATCATACAATATGTGTTCTTTTGTGTCTGGCTTCTTTCACATAGCATGATGTTTTTAAGGTTCATCCATATTGTGTAGCATGTATCAATATGTCATTCCTTATGGCTGAATAATATTCCACTCTACGGATATACCACATTTTGCTTATCAGTTGATGGACATTTGGGTTGTCTCCACTTTTTTCTATTATGAAATATGCTGTTCTAAACACTCATGTACAGATTTTTGGGTGTGGATATGATGTTAAATTTCTTTTGGGCATCTATCTAGGTATAAAATTTCTGGGCCCCCTGGTAACTCCATCTTTAAATTCTGGAGGAACTTCTCTGGCTGGTGTGGCTCAGTGGAATGAACACCAGCCTACGAACCACAGAGTCGCCAATTCAATTCCCAGTCAGGGCATGTGCATGGGTTGCAGGTCAGGTCCCCGGTAGTGGGTGCGCAAGAGGCAACCACACATTGATGTTTCTCTCCCTCTCTTTCTCTCTCCCTTCCCCTCTGTCTAAAAATAAATTAATAAAATCTTTTTTAAAAAAAATTTTTGGAGGAACTACCAGGTTGCTTTCCACAATGGCTGCACCATTACATTCCTACCAGTGATGGTGAGGTTTCTAATTTCTCCACATTCTCATCAATGCCTGTTATTAATTTTGAATTTTAAGTCATCTCAGGAGGTGCAAAGTGGTATCTCATTGTGGGTTTGATTTTCACTTTCTTAATGGCTAAAAACGTTAAGCTGCTGCTTTTTTTTTTTTTTTTGCATGTGTGCCATTGACCAGTTGTATATCTTTTATGTAGAAATATCTATTCAAATTCTTTGTCCATTTTAATTGGACTTTTTGTCTTTTGATTATTAAATTGTAAGATTTATTTATATACATATTCTGGATACAAATCCTTTTCAAATGTAATACATAATTTGCAAATATCTTCGCCTATTGTATGGGTTGTCTTTTTACTTTATCAATGGTGTCCTCTGAAGCACAGAAGTTTTTAATGTTAATGAAGCTAAATTTGTCTATTTACTCTTTTGTTGCTCATGCTTTCAGTGCCATGTTTAAGAAACGATTACCTATCCAGAGATCACAGAAATTTACTCTTATGTTTTCCTCTAAGAGTTTTATAGATTTATTTCTTACATTTGGGTCTATGACCCATTTTGAGTTAATTTTTGTGTAAGGTACAAATCCACCTTTCTTTTTCATGTGGATTCAGTTGTCCCAGCACTATTTGTTAAAAATATCATTTTTTGAAAATATTATTCTTTCCCAGGATAATCACCCTTTTTAATGAAAGAAGCTTTCTTTTTTCCCCTAAAACTTTTTTTAAAAAATAATAACACAGTCATACTAGAGTAGGGTCCACCTTAATAACCTCAACCTAACTTGATCATCTGCAAGGACAATATTTCCAAATACAGTCATATTCACAGGTTGGGACTCCAACAGCTGCAACCCATAACAGTAAATGTGGGTTTGTTGTTACAATAGAACAACATCATGTAGACATGTTGTTCTTTTGTATCCTAAAGGGATGTACTATTGGAGACATAAGGTAAGGCCAATACTGTGTGAATGGGGGTCGAGTCTCCACTAAAAGAAGCCGATGCTACACAAATCGATCACTCTTAAAGGTGAAAGATGAGAACAGAAAATGGGGAACACAGGCCTGAGATGGATTCCTCTCTCAGAACCTTGACTTGGGCCTAGATTCTGGGGAACTGAGGCATGTTTAGTGCATTTCTAGGTGGCAGAGGAAGCCTGGCCTCTTCCTTAAGTGGAGAGAATGGTCTCTGAACAGAAAGCCAGTCCTATGGATTCCCAGGAAGACAGACTGGGAACTGAGGGCTTAAGAACACCCATCGTCCATAGCCAGTTGTAAGTTATTCTCTGTGCCGAAGTCCCTCTACAATCCCCAGCCATCAGCCGTCATGTTAAACTCCAGCCTGGTCTTCTGTTAGAGAAAAAGCCTATGTTCACACTTGGACTGCAGAGCTACAGGAAGGCAGAAGAATGATGGTGACACTCTGCCCATGAGTATGTCCAAGGACCAAAAATTACGGGTGACAATCTACACTCACAATGGTTTAGTTGCCTGCAGTGGCCCAGGCTGACACTGGAGCCCTTGTCAGAAGCCCCCTGAGAACCCCCAGAGAGCAGGCTCTGAGTGTGAGATAGCTATTAACGTGACCTAACTTATGCCAATTTCCTATTCAGATTATTTAAAAGCGATGCTGCTGATGGTTCGAATTACTGAAAACGTTAATCATTTCAGAAACAATTATATTTCATTAAAGCTGTATATTAAAAGATAAATTCATTTAAAAAAACTAATCTTTTCCAAGAGCACAGATAATTTATTATGAAATTGCCCACATGATCATGGTTATGATGCCATTTTAGAGTGATCAGCCTTTCTTGAACTCTTTAAAGTCAATATAGCTAAACCAAGGACCACACTTCAAAAACCACTGCTGGAGAGAACTTTGTGTAAAATGTGTAGCATCATGATACTGATGGGGCACCTGGCCAGCGCCTATTCAGACCAGCTCCTGAAGAGCTGCCTGAGCCGTGGCCATCCACTACTGCTTGCCATGCTGGGGAGGGTCCTACTGTCCCGAAAACACAGCTGACCTCTTTGCCTTGTATCCTGGCTGTGCTGATTGCCCCTGGATCCTGTGGGTGAGAAAATTCTGTCAGGTTTTCCCATGTGGTGTGCCTGCTTGGTCTTTCAGTTCTCTGACACTAATATTTAATATTATAATATTAAATCACTAATAAAAGTGATCAAGCAGGTAAGAGCAACAAAAATCCATACTATGTGTAGTTTCGATTATAAAATATTAGATTTATTTACATCAGGAAAGTGAAAGGAGCACTTTTCTGCCACATCTCTCCATCAGCATTGTAGATGGAGGTTCTGACCAGAACATAAGATAGAAAAATAGAGTGTGAGTTTTCATTAAATTTGACCTGCCAGCCATTTGGCTGGGAAACGAGCAATATCAGCATCAACGTGTCTCTCCTCTTGAGCTGGTCAGATTCTCAGAAGAGAACATTCCAAACAGTTGCCAGGGTCGGCAAAGACAGGTGGGAGTCCCTGCACTCCGAGTGTCAGTGACCCTCAACCCTCTTCTTCCCACTGCTTCCCAGCACCTTCAAATTCGCCTCTCCTTCTCCAGTCCCAGAGGTCCTCTCCTCACTTTAGCAACCAGCCCCGGCTTGGGCGGGGGAGGGCAGTGCACCAGGGTCCTGCTCAAACTGCTCTCGCCGTCATCCACAGATGCTCTCCCCCCTCACCAGCTCCAGGGGCACTTGGTGCTGCTGGGCCCTTAATTCTGGAAGATTCTGCAGCATAAAGTGTGATTCGTCTGATTCCCCCATTATAGCAGTGGACTAGAGCACCCGCGGGCTGCAGAATAACGTTCCATTCTGGGGAGAAGCTGTTCGGCCATCCTCTCTCCTGCACTCCCTTCCCTGTTGGCTGTTGTAAATATTCTTGTACATGTCTCCTGGGACAATTGTGGAAAAACTTCTTTTTTGCAAAGACTTTAAGAAGGCAAAGCAAAATCTTTTTAACACGGTTTCATTAATGACAGAACCATCAGCAATGTAAAAGAGATCCTGAATTTCCATGCCTTCTCCAATACTCAATAGTTGGACCGACTGACTTTAGCACCCAGGCCCTGGGTGCAATTTGAAGTAGGTCAGCAGTTAAAATACAGCGGTAAATAGTACTCCTTCTTTACCCATACCCTGCGTGAACAAATTCCTTGCATGCATGTTCACGTGCACGTTCACGTGCATTTTTGGAGGCTTTCCCTGACACAACCAGAGTAAACTTCCAAACACACGTGTGAGCTTCCTTCCAGAAAAACTGAAAATTCAATTCCCAGATATTTAAAAAAAAAAAAAAAAAAAAAAAAAGGCCTGGGACTTGTAGTCCTGCTGGTGGAGGCTGAGCACAATGCTTTCAGGGATCTGCAGCGCACCCTGCACAGGCGGAAGCCAGCGCCTGCGTGGGCGTTTGCGTTACAGAATTGCAGCAGTTCCGGGCAGCAGTGTGTGCCTGTCTGTGACCTTCGCTTGGGAGGGGTGGAAGCAGCTGGACCAGGCCCAGAGGGCTCTATCCTGAAGTGTCACTGCAAACTCCTGGTCTCACTGGGGCTTGTGGTTCCCAAATCAGAGTTGATGTAACAGCCCAAGAACATGTAAGAGGCAAGGAAGAGTCTCTTGCTGAAGCCACCTTTTCCGGGTGACATGTAAAATGCAAAAGCAGCCAGCTTTGTCTTAGGGAGGCTTGCTCCAGGGCAGACTGACTCAGAGACCCAGAAGGTCGTCCAGGTTAGAGCAAGTCAGAGATCAGGAAGGGTTGTTGGAAATGCAGGAAGAGAATTTGAGGCCAGCTAGAGTTGCCCGCAAGGAGACCATCCTTAGGAAGATGAGCCTTCAACACAGTGGCATGGGGGCAGGTGACAGCTTGCACTCAAGGGTTTTGCAGAAGCAAGATTCTGCAGGAGATACTCTCTATGAATGTGATTCACAAGGACCAAATAAAGACATCTTGGTTCATGCAAGGAAGACCCTCTACAAATGCAAAAGATGTGGGAAGGTGTTTAACAAGTGCCTCCTTGTTTGACATGACACTGGAGTGAAAGCTTACAAATGCCAGGAGTGTGGGAAAGCCTTTTGTGAAAAGCTCCAGGTCGGCACATAAGGATTCACACGGGGGAGAAGCCCTATGAGTGCGTGGAGTGTGGGAAGATCTTCACCCATAAGTCACACTTCACATGCCAGCAGCAGATTGACACGGGGGAGAAGCACTGCGAGTGCCGTGAATGCAGAAAGACTTTCACCTACCACGCAGTTTTTCCGGCATAGTATGACCTACACTGCACGAAAGCCCTCTGAGTGTAAAGAATGTGGGAAAGGTTTTTGCTACAGCTATTTCCTCGCTAAACACACAAGGAGACACACTGGGCAGAAGCCCTGTGAGTGCAGTGAATGTGGAAAGGCCTTTGCTTTTGTCCAGCATAATAAGATCCACACTAGAGAGAAAAGCCTTTGAGAGCAGATAACGTGGGCAAGCCTTTTGTGACAGATTATCTTTCCCTTGACAACCCGAGGAGCGGTGCTGGAGAGAAGCTCTGAAAGCACGGACTACAGGAAAGCCTTCAGCGGCCGCTCATTCTTTCACCAGCAGCAGAGAGTTCATGCTGGAGAGAAAGACAGGCAGAAAGGCCCTTTGCACATGGGCTTACCTCAGTCAACAGCAGAGAACTTAGAGTGGGAAAAGACCTTTTGAATGTAAGTAGAAAGGAAAATCTTTTTGCCATGGGAAATATCTTATTTGGCTTTGAAGAATTCAGCCAGGAGAGAGACCTCTTGGTTATTGTGCACTTAGAAGAAACTTCATCACCTAGACAGGAATACTGTAAAAGGAACAAGGAAGGAGTGCACTTTAGAGAGAAGGAAAAAAATGCACACACAGCTTCTTTCACACTTTTCTGAAAGCTCAGCTTAAGGAAATTTGAATACGTTTCTCTGTTTGGGGACATCTGAAAAGTAAAAGGACCTTGTCCCTTTATTGTCATATGCAATATAGTCACTTCTGTCTAGTGGCAGGAAAGTTGGACTATGGAGGGCAGATTTGTTGAATAGATTTGTTGAAAGCACTCTTTGTTCCAAAACATCATCTCTAATCTTGAGGAGCATAAGTCTTTGTGAGAAATACATAGGCTTAAATCATGAAATACTTGAAACTCATAAGAAATTGGAATATTAAAAATACTGCCGTATGAAATTACTTTAGGAGATAAGGATCCACATATGAATGGTACATTCTACCTACATCACTTAAAACTAAGGCTTTTATTTATTTTTTAATCTTTCCTCATGTGGTTTTGAACAGCCAGTACTCATTTTTTTTTTCCTTGATGAGGGCACACTTTTTTGTTCTCATTCATTTTCTCAGGGGCATCCTTTGTGGTTTCTCAGCTTCTTTTGCTCCCTATACAGGGGCTTCTCCAAACGATGTCAATAGCTTTCTAAAGGTTACACTTTAGCTAAAACAAACTAAATAAAATTCAACTACCACAAACTAACGAAAAACTCAGGAAAAATTGTAAAATTTAGAAACTTGAACACAGTGTATTAAAATGTAAAACATGTTTTACACTTGACATGTTAATTCAGTTTCTACAAATCTGCCTTAGAGAAATGTTCGCACAAATGTGCAGAGATATATGTACAAAAAAAAAAAATCTCTTCAATTTTGTTTTTCTTTATGTCCATCAATAAGGAAACAAATCATGGTACCTCTGTTTTGTGAAACACTGTGAAACAATAAGGTGTCTCTGTATGTACTGATGTTAAAGCATCTCCCAGTATAGTGTTAAATAAGAGAGAAGGCTGAATGTAACAAATCCAGATCTGGAAATACGAACATAGCGCTGTCAGCAGACACTCTCTGTGCGGAATGAGCTGGGCCCCGATTGTAGGGAACTTTCAGTTTTTACTTTATATACTTCCGTATTGCTTGTCCTTTTTTTAAAATAAAGAGCATGTGTTATTTTGGCAATAAATGTTTGAAACATTTTAATAAAAATGGCACCTTGGAATAAAAGGGACTCTTATCATTTCTTATAAAGCATGAATTTTACAGAACTTTTAAAGTCCTGGTGCTATTATGCCTTAAAAAATTAGATCAAGGATTCAGACCTATTTGGCCACACTTGGTAAATAGTAAGGTAGTTTTAAAAATGAGTCAACATACAGATATGCGCAAAGAATGAAACTAGACCACCTTCTTACAGCATACACAAGAGCAAACTCAAAATGGATTAAACACTCAAATGTATGACTTGAAACCATAAAAATCCTAAAAGAAAACATAGGCAGTAAAATCTCAGACATTTCTCACATAGCAACACTTTTTCTGCTATATCTCCTCAGGCAAGGGAAACAAAAGAAAAAATAAACAAATGTGACTATATCAAACTAAAAAGTTTTTGTGCAGCAAAGAAAACCATCAGCAAAATGAAAAGACCAGCCACTGGATGGGAAAACATATTTGCCAATGATATGTCTGATAAGGGGTTAATATCCAAAATTTATGGAAGACTTAAAACTCAACACAAAAACAAACAATCCAATTAAAAACGGTGTAGAGGATCTGAATAGACATTTCTCCAAAGAAAACTTACAGCTGGCCAATAGACATATGAAAAAATGCTCAACATCACTAATCATCAGAGAAATGCAAATTAAAACTACAATGAGATAACACCTCACACCTGTCAGAATGGCCATCATCAATAAATCAACAAGCAAATGCTGGTGAGGATGTGGAGAAAAGGGAACCCTAGTGCACTATTGGTGGGAATGCGGATCGGTGCTGCCATTGTGGAAAGCAGTGTGGAATTTCCTAAAAATAATTAGGAATGGAACTGCCTGACGACCCAGTGATCCCACTTCTGGGAATACTTGTGAAGAAACCCGAAATGCTGATTCAAAAGAACATATGCACCCCTGCGTTCATTACAGCGTTATTTACAATAGCCAAGATTTGGAAGCAGCCCAAGTGTCCATCAGTAGATGAGCGGATAAAAAAACTGTGGAGCACTTACACAATGGAATTCTACTCAGCCATAAAAACAAAGGGAATCTTTCTTTTGCAACAGCATGGATGGACCTGGGGGATATTATGCTAAAGGAAGTAAGCCAGTCAGAGAAAGACAAGTACCATATGATTTCACTTATATGCGGAATCTAAGGAACAAAATAAACTAACAAACAAAATAGAAACAGACTCATAGATACAGAGAACAGACTGATGGCTGTCAGAGAGGCGATGGGTTGGGGGGTTGGGTGAAAAAGGTGAAGAGATTAAGCAAAAAAGAAAAAACCTTACAGACACAGGCAACAGTATTGTGATTACCAAAGGGAAAGGGTGTGGGGAGGAGGTAGAAAAGACTAAGGTCGGGGATCAGTGGTGATGGAAGGAGACTTGACTTTGGGTGGTGGGCACGCAATACAATACACAGATGAGATATTATAGAATTGTACACTTGAAACCTATATAATTGTATTAACCAACATCACTCCAATAAATTTAATAAAAATTTAAAAAATAAAAATGGGGTACTCATAAATGAACAATTTATTTTCTTTAAAATCCTAGTAACTTATAAATGCTCATTTGTAAATTGTTAAGTTTTCTGTCAGGTTTTTATCTCTTTAGAGTTGATCATAAGGAAAGTACTTTGGTTGCTATTAAAGTCAATGTACTGAGTATAAAAATATACACACACATACAAACACATTTGCTGGCCACACCTGATTTCTGAATGTTTGCTGTTCAATAAATGTGGTTTGCTTTTACTGGATTTACTTTCAGACTCCATGATATATGTTAGCATTCTGACTAAAGAGACACGTAGTTGCTTTTTTCCAACATAATATTCATGCCAAGCAATCAGATGTATTTTCTAGTAAGAGAAAACAAGTTTGATATCCACTGATTATACCTTAGGATTTGCCTGTAATCTCCCTCACAACATTTGTTAACATCATTTCACTGGAAAACATATATCATCAGAAATATTTTCCCCATTTAGAAATAAACAAGGAATAGGATTTTCACACAAACAAACCTGGGGCCCACAAGTCAAACCCTGTTTGGATATTTCAGTTGTAAAAATTTCCCAGTAGAATTGCTCTACAAGAGACTGACTTTGTAAGTTTTATTCTTTTTTAGCAAGAGAAGTTGGGAGCTGTGATGTGATACAAGCAAATTCTACCCATTTGGGGCCAGTTCCTTAAAGTGGATTATAAAGAAGAAGTAAGAAGACCGTCCTGGTTTTGGAGAATGTCTTAGTCTGGGCTGCTATAGCAAAATACTCTCACCTGGGTGGCTTGTAAACAACAGAAATTTATTTCTTACAGTTCTGGAGGGTGGGAATTTCAAAGTCAAGGCAATGTCAGATTCAGTGTCTGGTGAGAGCCCTCTGGACAAGAGAGTTCTGTGGAGTTTCTTTTTTAAATAAGGGTATTAATCCCATTCACGAGGGCTCCGCCCTATGGCCTACTCACTCCCAAAGAACCCGCCTCCAGTAATACCATCACATTGGGATGAGGGCTCAACCTGTGAATTCCAGCAGGACACAGGCCATCTGTGGCAGAGGAGAAGGTGTCACCTTGAGATCTCTTTTCTGTGAGAGCCATTGAGCAGTCTCCCTGCTCATGTAAATGTAGACTAAGCAGGCTTTGGAGTAAGAGCCCGGTGTTTTTAGATTATTTAAAATAAGGAGCGTGAGAACCCTCAGAAGAAGATGCTGAGCTTCATGATAATGAGGCGTACAGGGCATGTGAGCAATCCAGTGGCTAAATGGAAAATAGATGAAATCCCATGTCCAAGTTTGTGGGGCACTTCATTCCAGTTACAGGTGAAAAAATGTTTTCTTAAAGCTAATAAAATCTAGGACATTTGGAGATGCAATTCTTTATATATTACACTTGGCTTATCAAATATTTTTCAATGAAGGACTTTGAATGTATATCTCTCCTTCAATTTCCATTAATGCTATTAAGAAGTCAGCTACCAGTTTATTATTATTCCTTTAGAAGTCATTTTTCTTCCTCTGTAGCTTCTTTAAAGATCTGTTTATCTTTAGTATTTTATAATTTCTATAAGGTATATCAAGGCATGGCTTGCTAATTTATTATGCTTGGTGTTCATAAGGATTGCTGTATTTCATCAGTCCTGGAAGTTTTTTATTTATCACAGCTTTGGATATGCATTTCCCCCGTTATCTATCTCTAGTACTACCTTCTGTAATTCCAATCAGATGTATATTTTACCTTCTTACTTCATCTCTCCTTTCTCTTCACTTACCTCCCCTATTTTCAGTCTCTGTGTTCTTCCACACTGTCAGAATAAATTTTTCATATTTATCTTCAAGTTTATTCATTCTCTTTTCACTGTGTAACTGGAATTTTTAAATGCCAGTGGTTATATTTTTCATTATTACAAGTTCTAATTGGTTCTTTTTTAAAAAAGTTTTTGGT